CATAGTGATCAGGAGGACCTGGGTTCAATTCCTGCCTGCCCATCTTTTCTCGCAAACGCCATTTGGCAATAAAGCTAAATATTACAACAAATTATTTAATTTGCATGACTACCCACATAGCTCAGTTGATTTGTACTATGTCAGCAATGTGAGCGATCGCTGGTTCGAATCCAGTATGGTTAGATTTTTGAATGCTAGTGAAGACAGTGCTCCTATGAATAGGTATTAAATCCTAACTCCTGTGTGAAAACACTCGTGGTACAGAGGACAAGACAGTGCGCTGGGAACTCAAAGATCGCAAGTTCGAATCACGGATTGGACACTCCTACAAAAGACATGAAAGATGTTAAAAACATAAACAGCGGATTCAAAAACTCAAGTCAAACAGAACACAAGAATACTACCCCACATGGAAGCCAGTCGAAGTCGTCGAAGAACGAACACAGTCGAAGAACGAACACTGTTGACAGCTGTAGGTCACGTGCAACAACAGACACGTGGAGCATGGCTGCTCTCCAAATGGGTCACTTCTTTTGTATTGACCCCCTAAGGATTGCTAATCCCCCTTTCTAACTCTTCCCCCAAAAATAATATATCGCCCCTTTTAAAATGTATTGAGCCACAAATTAATGAATATTCATGAGCACAGAAACTGCTACATCATGAATAAATTAGCATAATTTTAAAAAATTTGCATAAAGTGTAGGTACTCCTTCTGGAGCTCTGCCATTATTACTAATATGACATGCACTGTATGTCCCGGAAGTACCGGTAGATATAGAGTGTCAACTTCTAGAATTATATGACTATTAAATTACTCAACTCGGAAGTTATAACACAATAACCTGGGAGCCCATGAAAGATTGGTGATGGTAGTAGCATATGCGAACTGGGGTCTGAAGATAGGATATATCGTTAATAAAATAAATACTGATCCTAAAATTATAACAGATTAACCGCTGAATGCATTTTCTTGCATTTAGTGCTCACTCCATGTTACATACGAATGTAACATAGAGTGAGCGCAAAATGCAAGAAAATGCTGCAACCTCAGATTAGATCAATCATCCCTCAACCATTAAGAACAAATATTAGCATGGAGACGAGCATTTATTGTTCTCTGTGACAGCTTTGGCAGTTTCCCTCCTCCAATTGAACATGTAGAACCGCGGTCAAAATCAAAATCTCAATGACTTTTGAGTCAAAATTATGATTCTGCCTGTTACAGTCAAACACTTTATTAGATATAGACCAAGCAAAAGATGTGTGCGGAGATTCATTCATTTTATCGATCTTTGACCGTTAATAGAATAATGTATGTTTGTGTTTATTTATATCACATTTACATTTTGTACTTCACAGTATAATTTTTAGAATCGTCATTTCATAATCATATGTTTCCTTCGTATTTCATTTAATGCATGTAATCCTAAAGTAGCACACCTAGCATTGGCCAATATTTGTTCGAACGTTAGAGTAAACACCACATTTCTAATAGGTTCAAGAAAACGTCTTCCATCCAAAAAATTTTTACTCAACTGGATCTATGGAAACGCTGTATGTTTTTGGTGCATTATTGTATCTGTTGCATTTTAGTTGTTACGAGTTCACATCTGTATGTATGCTATTGAAGAATAAATCAAGGTTGAGTTGTAATTTTCACAACGTGTCCGTTTCAGTTTCAAAAGATGATTTCTGGATGTTTAGATTTCACATGACACTATTACATTTTCAGGAGTCAGGGATACTTGCAACCTACGTAATGTCATGATACACTCTTCTAATAGCAATGCTGTATTTTATGTAGGTTTTACTCTAGCAGTTGAAACTATCAACGAAATACCACAGGATATATTAGCAGAGATTTGTAGGGATGTTTTATTATTTCTGCAATATCGACTTGGTACTGTCAGTGTAGGTGATTTTTACACAGTAAGTATAGGTGTATCATGAATTCAGAGCTCTATCCCTTTACCCCTATTTACTTAGCACTAAATATTAGAGTATGTTCTGTACAGAGCAACAAACACATTTAGGTTTATTGATTGAAGAGAATACAACTATGTCTTGTGCACTGGTGTGTAATAGCTGAAATAACATGTCATCAACAAAAAATAACATTACTAACTGTATAATAAATCTGCAAATGGTCTTTCTGTTTACTTATCAATTTTTTTCCACTTTTCAGAAATTAGAAAATGTTGAAATAGACTTCAGTAAACAGTCCATCCAAGGAGCTGTCAATGCCCTGATATATCTATTTAGGTGAGCAGTAATATGCAATATGTACTAAGTAAATAGTCATAGACATTTTACACCCTCATATTCCTCCATCAAAATATTAGTATTATAGTTAAATCTCATTTTTTTAAATAAATTTCATTAAATTTGAAAATGTTCATTTATAGAACTTGAACTTAAACAGAACTTGAGGGCAGTTTATTGTCAAATCCCACTAGTGATTTATTCATAGGGTTATTCTTAATAATAATAATAATTGTCTGATGTCATATCAGTGAGTTCTTCAAAAATACCTAAATTCCAGTATTTCTAACATGACATATCTTGTGTGAAAGTTCCTGAATCAGTCTGCCAAAGCATTAGAACATGAATCTCATTATCAAACATACTAATTAGTAAAATGTAATTAGTGGCATTGATTTAGTAAATTTTGTTTTTCGATGTCAATTAAAGTTTCAATATATTTTATATGCATGTTTTATTATTACCGTAACTTACCATAAATAACCGTAAAGTAAAAGCAAGTTTGTATAATTATAGACTTAATTTTTTGTTGTCAGATGTGCTGCTAGAGAGAAAGTGTCAGCTGACGAGTTGATTAGAGAATTGAAAGGTACCTTGGCTTGGACTGAGAATAGTTTAACTGTCATCAAACACCTATGGTCTGAGCAGGTAATCAAGCAATCACTTCTTTCAGTCATTTCTCTATGATATTTTTCAGTATTTGAATGAATGAGGTTACTGCAATATTATCACAAGGTATGCTCGAAGGCATGTCGAATTAACTATTGTCCATCACGATGTATGCTTGAAGTCAGTAAAATGAGGGCACTGACTAGTGTTTGATGTAAATAAAGTATTTGAATAATAGAAGATACAGTGAAAGTATGCTCAAAGGTGATGTGGTGATCACATTGGCTATCGTCTGATGTAAATAAATGTTTGAATAATTGAGGTTACCGGGAGATGTGATGTGAATAAAATGTTCTGGGATGTAAAGCAAAATTCTGAGATATTGATACATGTATATAACAGTTTCATAAAAAACAAAAAAACAATGGAAAATGCTCTAAAACAGACATAATATGCCATTTCCCCTCTGTTTTGTACATACCAAATACGTTGACCCCATATTTGTATTCAATTTTCTTCATTCTAGTGACATGAAATATCATATGTAAAAACAAAGAAAATGACAATATTTTTTTCTACTGTAAAGCATTCTAACTTAAGTCAATATATCCTTATAGTGTCTTGAAGTATAATTTATTGCAAAATGAATGAATTCTGGGTATTTCCATTTATGAGTAGCCTTCTACCTTTTGATTTATCTTGTATTGTTTGTTCTATTTAACATAAATGCTTGTTGGCATTCTTGCATGTTTTGCAATTAGTTGACAATTTGTAGTCAAAAATATAAGTGATTAACAGATTCTAAATATTACAGATTCTAAATCTCCATTATAATGACTGCTATTTCTTCATTGTGTCATGAATTTTTGAAGTGCCAGTCAAATCTGTTCACCTGACTGTTTTGCAGTAAACTGTCTTTAATTAGTGTTGAGAGGAACATATATGTTTTATGATTTGACCAGAAACAAAGAATATTTTCTCTACAAATTTGCTTCTTTGACAATTTGCTTTATTTGATTTCTTTGAAGAACATAGGATGGATGTAAATTGATGTTGACAGCACCGTGTGATTCAGAGAAATCATTAACAATTTATAGTTTGATGGGATAACTCATGGAGCAATTATTGCTTTTGTCCCTATATCTGACTCAACTCTTTGTGATATCCAAATAACGTATGATTTCTATTTATTTGTTCAGGGGAAGACATTGGTATCATCTGATGCACTGCAACAAATGTTAAATATTGGACAACTGGTAGATATGAAATGGAAACTCGGTATGGCAATGAGTTCAGATGCGTGTCGTAATCTTAATTCACCCTATGTGTCCATGACGCTAAACGTGGCAGACTCGTCAGGTCGGCACACCACGAAGACATTTGAGATGACAATACCAGAATTCCAAGTAAGTTTTTTTGTCATTATTGTGTGTAGAAGTAGTACATAGTCTTAATGCATTATATCACATAATACTTACTGTTTGTGATTACTTGATAGGGCTGTGTGATTGTCTCCTTATCACAATGACAATTTTATACACTATCCTAACCTCAATCAGGCTCGGTCGCACACTAGCACATATTTAAATTAACCAGTGTCCTCCTAAATCACATCTATTAGTGAATTTGGTCAGAGGCTTGTTCATTTTTACCCGTGACCAGGATACTTCCTTATGATCACAATTCCATTGATACAGTACACTCACATTTAGCTGGCATACACGTGATAATAAAATAAATGTGATTAATTTCCCGGTATTCACATGCAAGTGCCAATCAGTGGCGGCTTTACAGTTAGATAATGATTTCGACTGAAAATACTCTCGGAAAGTATTCCATGTTCTTCATGTAATTAGGTGTATGTATTCAAGAATTTTTTTCCACACAAAAACAACATATTTGGCCAAATTTTGTTAGTGGTTGTCTTAACTTTGCCCAAATGGATCGTTTGGTATTTTTTCCAGATTTGTAGAAAAACTGAAAAACCTGTTTCTCAACTTGTCTCTTTATTTACCTGGTAGTTTCATGGCATATTCAAGATGGCTGCCCCCATATAGTAAAAACCTGTAAATTGATAGCATTTATTTTATTATATCACGTGTACACTGGCTGACCTTCAGTATGCTACTATGTTTACATTGACATTGCTGTTTTCATATAAACCTCTATTAATATCAACCATGCTGGATTGCATAAATCTTATTAACCTGTAGTTAGCTTCATAATTTAACCATTTATTTTTATTGTCTGTGTACATTTCGCTGACTAATTTGACCACAGCTAATGCAAAGATAATACTCAGGGGATTGTGTAGTTCCGCAATACAGTAGAGTTGACTTACTGTTACTTGCTATGCCAGTAAATTCAATGACTAGGTTCATTTTTTGGTCCATTATTACCAAATGCCAGTAAATTGCAGTTCATTATTGCCAGTGATTGTTGAAATTTAGCAGCGCTGAATTAATAAGGTACATTTTCATATTTTGTTCTTTTTACAGAATTTCTATAAACAAATGAAGGAAATGGCCTCAATACTTGAAACGGTGTAAAGAAGTATTTTGTGGTTGGTCAGACAATGTGTTTATAAACCACACATTTGATATGCTGCAAGTAATGACACAAACTGGTGATTGGATATGATGATTCTATGAACTATAAAATACTTAATTTTCAGTTGAAATTGTTTGCCCTCCAAGGGTAAATCATTTGGAAATTTTTTTAAATTGACCATCTTGTTGCGGTTGAAATGTAACATAGATCGACCAGATTTGTGCGGTCAATATAAAGAGAACAAACAGAGGTCATACTGTCGTAGTGGTTTCAAAACGTGCTTGGAATTTGACGAACACTAAACTATTTTTGGGTATTTCTAAGCTTGATAATGTGCTATACACATTTTATGATAGTTAATTTTCATGAAATAAAAATATCTAAATACCATATTCCTCTGAAAGATAGGAATTTTGACATTGAACTATGAAAATGAGAAATTCAAGTTCAAATCATTCAATTTTTGCAGCAGACGTGTCTTTTACGCATTACATGAGATTTTGCAATAAACACTATTGTCGGGGCGGACATTTCAACCACCAGGCAACCATCACAGTGAAAACAAAGGCCGAAAACTCTCAGAAACGATACTTTGGGATGATTGTTGAGACTCCCCTGAACAGTGTAACAAGATAACCCCTACACGTGCAATGTATATAAATTTGGTTGATCAGAATTACTTCAAAGTTGAGTTTCGGTTATTTTCTCTACTTTAGCTGTTTTCACCAGACATTAGACCGGCATTCCACAGCAGGTTGCGCAGAGCTCTTAGAAATACATGGTACAGTGGTGCACGTCTTAGCAATGGGGAACGTCTTGTGTCGTAGCTCCGCCTCCAAGGATAACCTTGGCAGATTCTATTCAGCAAGTGTATCTTAAAGTGCGCCCTCTTTTGTAAATTGACATAACACCATTTCATTTTGTGTTCATTGCCTTAGGCAACTGTGATTAGATTCATATTGACAGGTCCTTCCAATCAGACAAATTTATTCGAAAATATCAAATACATGATATCTTGGTAGAATGTTGGGTAGTTGTTCCTTTATTGACAGCACTCTCACAGTTTTCTGTCTCAATTACTGATAGTGCCCTTACAGTTTGCTGTACTTAGTGCTGTCTAGATAAATAATAGCGCCCCCACGGTTTGCTGTACTGTGTACTATCTATATAAATGATAGCGCCCTCACAGATTAAAATGTATTTCAGTAACCATAGTAATGGTTGAATTTTGTTTTGTTGTACTTATTTTTAGCATTGCATCGAGACCTCATTTTACTTGGCGTTAATGTATTATTAAATTTACTATTATCTCACATAGAAGAGAATATTATTTTAGCAATTCTTTCTCAGTTGAAGACCAGATTTTTGTTTAATCAAATTTTGGAGTATTCCAGGAAGACTCTCAGAAAATGTTTGTGTTTAATCTTTATCATCATCATGTAATTCCACTCATCAGTTAATGACATGTGCTCATATTATAGCAGTGACATTGTATTGGTCACTGTAGAGATTTTTTTTTTTAGAAAATTTGTGAAATAATGGCAAAAAATGACAATTTAGCAGAGGTTTCCATAAACCACAATGAAAACACATTTTGACATAGATAAGTATACTAAAATACACTAAAAACAGTCCAAACATGTCATTTTCACTCCATTCCTTTGACATAAACTGTCACTTATGTAAAAATAAAGAAAATGAAATTATTTTTACTATTTATAAGCATTCTATCTTAATGACTCTTGTTTTCAAGAGGGACCCTTCCTTCTAGTCAAATTTATTTAGATGTTTTATTATAAACTTGAATAAAAATGCATTATTCAAGTTGTTAATTAGTAATTATGGTATAATATGAAACTTATATGAATGAGAAGGTTGAAAAAAGTCTTCTACCTGCCATTCTCTAGATATTTACCTACCAGTCTCTATGGTATTTACCTACCAGTCTCTCGATATTTACCTACCAGTCTCTATGGTATTTACCTACCATTCTCTAGGTATTTACCTACCAGTCTCTAGGTATTTACCTACCAGTCTCTAGGTATTTACCTACCAGTCTCTAGGTATTTATCTACCAGTCTCTAGGTATTTACCTACCAGTCTCTAGGTATTATCTACCAGTCTCTAGGTATTTATCTTCCAGTCTCAAGGTATTTACCTACCAGTCTCAAGTTATTTACCTACCACTCTCTAGGTATTTACCTACCAGTCTCTAGGAATTTATCTACCACTCTCTAGGTATTTACCTACCAGTCTCTAGGTATTTACCTACCCGTCTCAAGGTATTTATCTAACAGTCTCTAGGTATTTACCTACCAGTCTCTAGGTATTTACCTATCAGTCTCTAGGAATTTATCTACCAGTCTCTAGGTATTTATCTACCACTCTCTAGGTATTTACCTACCAGTCTCTAGGTATTTACCTACCCGTCTCTAGGTATTTATCTAACAGTCTCTAGGTATTTACCTACCAGTCTCTAGGTATTTACCTATCAGTCTCTAGATATTCACCTACCACTCTCTAGGTATTTACCTACCAGTCTCTAGGAATTTATCTACCACTCTCTAGGTATTTACCTACCAGTCTCTAGGTATTTACCTACCCGTCTCTAGGTATTTATCTAACAGTCTCTAGGTATTTACCTACCAGTCTCTAGGTATTTACCTATCAGTCTCTAGGAATTTATCTACCAGTCTCTAGGTATTTATCTACCAGTCTCTAGGTATTTACCTACCAGTCTCTAGGTATTTACCTATCAGTCTCTAGGAATTTATCTACCAGTCTCTAGGTATTTATCTACCACTCTCTAGGTATTTACCTACCAGTCTCTAGGTATTTACCTACCAGTCTCTAGGTATTTATCTACCAGTCTCTAGGTATTTACCTACCAGTCTCTAGGTATTTACCTATCAGTCTCTAGATATTCACCTACCACTCTCTAGGTATTTACCTACCAGTCTCTAGGAATTTATCTACCACTCTCTAGGTATTTACCTACCAGTCTCTAGGTATTTACCTACCCGTCTCTAGGTATTTATTTAACAGTCTCTAGGTATTTACCTACCAGTCTCTAGGTATTTACCTATCAGTCTCTAGGAATTTATCTACCAGTCTCTAGGTATTTATCTACCAGTCTCTAGATATTCACCTACCAGTCTCTATGGTATTTACCTACCAGTCTCTAGATATTCACCTACCAGTCTCTATGGTATTTACCTACCAGTCTCTATGGTATTTACCTACCAGTCTCTAGATATTCACCTACCAGTCTCTAGATATTCACCTACCAGTCTCTATGGTATTTACCTACCAGTCTCTAGGTATTTATCTACCAGTCTCTAGATATTCACCTACCAGTCTCTATGGTATTTACCTACCAGTCTCTAGATATTCACCTACCAGTCTCTATGGTATTTACCTACCAGTCTCTAGGTATTTACCTACCAGTCTCTCGGTATTTACCTACCAGTCTCTCGGTATTATCTACCAGTCTCTCGGTATTATCTACCAGTCTCTAGGTATTTATCTAACAGTCTCTAGGTATTTACCTACCAGTCTCTAGATATTCACCTACCACTCTCTAGGTATTTACCTACCAGTCTCTAGGAATTTATCTACCACTCTCTAGGTATTTACCTACCAGTCTCTAGGTATTTACCTACCCGTCTCTAGGTATTTATCTAACAGTCTCTAGGTATTTACCTACCAGTCTCTAGGTATTTACCTATCAGTCTCTAGATATTCACCTACCACTCTCTAGGTATTTATCTAACAGTCTCTAGGTATTTACCTACCAGTCTCTAGGTATTTATCTACCAGTCTCT